AAGCTATTTTAATAAGCTGCACAACTCGGCTATCAAGTCGCGCGTGAAAGTTGGTAGTGCCGGTTGAACGTCAGTGCGCTGTACGTTCAACTGATGTTTAAGGGTGTTGTGCGCTATGCAAAAAGTGTCTATTTGCATAATCGGTGTGTTTAGGGGTTTTATTTATTGCTCTATCAAAAATGAATATTTTATTATACCATACATTTTTTGTACCGCGTTATTTGCAACATTGCGGTCCCTCTGGCCGCAATGTTGCGCGTACTAAGCTCTCGTCACGAACGACTGGCTAAGACAGACAGGCTTAAAATGCTTCGATCATTTCTTTGTTTTCTATGTAATTACCTGATTGCAAGTACGGGTATTCTGTCTTTTTAAAGTGTTTGGAATAAATGGTCATGTTCCTCGTAACGGCCTTAAAACGCGAACCCATTCTCGATTTGTATTGCTCGACATACCGTTGCACGATGAGTTTTCTCCTACTTGCGGCAAAGAATAGACTTTCCGTAGACCATACTATAGAGTTTTTCATTATTAGTGGGAGCATTTTCCGTCACGTTGAGCACAGATTGAGCTGGCGGCCAAGCACAAGATCAGAAATCCGCAGCGTATGCGATACACGAAAAGTCCCTAATGAAATTAGACATCCCGGTCCTTCGTGCAAGGCTGTTGCAAGGCGGAGCACAAGAATTATTTTTTTAACGCGCTCACGTTTTTCTTTAAAACGGCTTCACGCATCAAGGCGGACAGTCCCTGCCACCGTTTCCGCGCCGCTCCTCTGGTTCTTTGTTCGTCCGCGGGAGGGCGAGTGGCGCGCTGGAGTTGCGAATAGTCCAGCGGGGTAAAGGTGGGTGAGTAGGAGTGGCAAATCCCGCGCGCCGACATCCTGGGTCCCGAGTGAAAGATCGCGAAAGAAAGCGACAGAACGCGAGAGAAAGAAACCAATGTTGCCAGCTGAAGGACGACAGTCGATCACAATGATAATCGCGAAGACAAAACTCTCAGCAATATAAGTAGTGATAATTTAGCGTTGTAAACTAAATTTTGAGCTATTCTAACGCTTATAAAAAGCGGTATATTCATTACGCTGCATTAACTTCCCTTCTGTCGAAATCTCTGAAATCTAGTGGTTGTGCGGTTTCATATTTCTGGGGCGCGGTCAACGGCGCGGCCATCCGCGAAGCCTATGGCGAAGCCGGTGATCTCGGTTATTATCTGGTTTAGTTTAGTGTTGACGGAAGGCCGCACATCTGCGCGCTATGCAAAAAGAAAGCTTCGAAAGGAACGCGAATATCTTTCCACCGGTAAGTTCGTGGATTGTTGAAGTTCATGTAACTGCTCTGATGATATAATTATATTTGTGAAGTCGAAGGCAGTTGGTAACCATGTGGGACCCCGAGGGTCTGCCTGCATGCTCCGCTGCTTGCGGCAGCCAGAATGCATGGGAAAATGGCGGAGCTTTTCCTCTAGAGTTAGTATGTAGGGGTGTCGCGAACTTTTGTCGAACCAGATTTTTTGGTCGAACTTCCGGGGTTCGACTGAGTCGAACCGGTTCGACGAACCTTCGAACTTTTCACCAGATTCGACCGGTTCGACTTTATGGACAGTGTGGCCAGACCTTAATACAAGCATGTCTAGGTTTGGAGAATTTTTTTTTTTATGCAAGGGGTTATTTTATTTTGTGAACTGCTGCAATTAAAAGAAACTAATTCTAATCACTGAATAAGTTAATAACTTAATGTTTAGTACTGTATTGACTAAAATAGACAATCAGCGCTGCACTTAATTCATCTTTTAGCCATTACCATCCAATCCGAAGCCAACTGGTCAGCCTGTCGCGCATGCGCACACGAGTCGAACCTCAATACAAGGTTCGTCGAACTTTCCACTAAAAGTTCGAAAAAGTCGAACCTGGTCGAACTCGAACCGCGGCCGGTTCGCGACACCCCTATTAGTATGTATGATTTGTATGGAATAGTCGACAGCTGCGAATCGGCCGGAGCCAAGCTTACCAAGCGGCCAAGACGGAGCCATAGCCGGAACGACTGTGCTGCAAGCGCCAGCGCCACCCGCGGCCGTCTTCCAACGCTGTGCCGCTTCTCCGGCTTCGTTTGTTACGCTACCCCCTTTAAGCCAATAGGGAGTTTTCGTAGACCGCGCTGCCCCCTCCGCTAAGCGTTCCGCAACGAAGAAGTTGCTACTGCGCCTGCGCGCCGATAGCCTTGACTGTGGAGTTCCCGCTATCGTAGCGGGTTGCGGAGGGCCCTTGCGGGACGGCGAAAACGATCTACGAAAACTCCCTAATGTAAAGGAGCCTTACGCTACGCCACTCCACTATTCTGCTCCGAACATGGAGAATAGAAGGGTAGGAGAGGGCATGACGTCAGCCGCGTAGCCTCCACAAGCCAAGGAGGTTAGAAGTACTGGGAGGGGTCAAAGCACGTTGCAATATTGGTGAAGCCTAGTCATAAAAAGTTTAAACGATATTGCGCCCAGCGTGACCGCAGATCTCTGGCGATCGGTGCTCGTGACATGTCACGTCGAGATGGATGGTTTGGTAGGTTTTATCAGATCGAAGGCTAGCTACAATCACGTGATGTGGTCATGTATGGCTGATAAGTGAGGAGAGCAAGGAGGAAAATGAGAAAGAGGCGAGGCATCAGGGGAGCATGGTTTGTGGAGGCTACGTCGCTGACGTCATGCCCTCTCCTACCCTTCTATTCTCCATGGCTCAACATGACCACATCACGTGACCATAGCTAGCCTTCGTCTAGCCTTCGATCTGATAAAACCTACCGGACGGAGCGCGTGCAAGCCTGCAAGGGATCCTCCCACAATCAACCATCCATCTTGCAGGTGACATGTCATGCGCACCAATCGCCAGAGATATTTGCGGTCACGCTGGTCACAATATCGTTCAAACTTCTTTTGACTAGGCTTCACCAATATTGCAACGTGCCCCCTCCTAGTACCCTTAACAAGGGGTGTCGCAAACTTTTGTCGAACCGGATTTTTAGGTCGAACTTTCAGGGTCGACGAACCTTCAAACTTTTCACCAGATTTGACCGATTCGACTTTGTGGACACTGGCCAGACCTCGATACAAGCATGTCTAGGTTTGGAGATTTTTTTTTTTTATGGAATGGGTTATTTTATTTTATGAACAGTTGCAATAAAAGATATAAGTTCTTATTACTGAAGAAGTAGATAACTTAATTTTTTCTACTGTATTAACCGTATTAACTGCAAGAACCAATCAGCGCTGCCCTTGATTCATCCCTTAGCCATAACCATCCAATCCGAAGCCAACTGGCCAGTCTGTCGCAGGGGTGTCGCGAACCGGCCGCGGTTCGAGTTCGACCAAGTTCGACTTTTTCAAACTTTTAGTGGAAAGTTCGACGAACCTTGTATCGAGGTTCGACTCGTGTGCGCATGCGCGTCAGGCTGGCTCGTTGGCTTCGGATTGGATGGTAATGGCTAAGAGATGAATTAAGTGCAGCGCTGATTGGCTATTTCAGTTAATACAGTGCTAAAAATCAAGTTATTAACTTCTTCAGTGATTAGATTTAGTTTCTTTTAATTGCAGCTGTTCACAAAATAAAACAACCCTTTGCATAAAAAAAAAATTCTCCAAACCTAGACATGCTTGTATCAAGGGCTGGCCACACTGTCCACAAAGTCGAACCGGTCGAATCTGGCGAAAATGTCGAAGGTTCGAACCCCGAAAGTTCGACCAAAAAATCTGGTTCGACAAAAGCTCTCGACACCCCTAGTCTGTCGCGCATGCGCACACAAGGTTCGCCGAATACAAGGTTCGCCGAACTTTTCAGTAAAAGGTTGAATTTGGTCGAACTCGAACCGCGGCCGGTTCGTGACACCCGTGACACCCCTACTTCTAACCTCCTAAGGCTCCGAAGGTCTAATAAATTTAACTACAAAAGGTTGTCTTGTTCAGTTCAGTTTAGTTCAGTTTAGAACAAAACAATGTATATTAAATTAATTCTTGGCTGGACTTTTTTTATTTTTTTATTTTTTTCACCTAGGGCGAGTAAAGGATAGGGGTGTCGCGAACCGGCCGCGGTTGAGTTCGACCAGGTTCGACTTTTTCGAACTGTTAGTGGAAAGTTCGACGAACCTTGTATTGAGGTTCGGCTCGTGTGCGCATGCGCGACAGACTGTCCAGTTGGCTTCGGATTGGATGGTAATGGCTAAGAGATTAATTAAGTGCAGCGCTGATTGGCTATTTTAGTTGATACAGTACTAAAAATTAAGTTATTAACTTTTTCAGTGATTAGAATTATTATAATGCAATTAAATGCAAAGGTGCAAGCGAGCTGGACAAGAATGACGAAAGTAATCCCTGGAGAAGGGGAACAAGAGGGACAAAGGACAAACATAAATCTTCAAACACAGCTAGGTGACTGGTGAGCGACCGAAAAAATCCGCCTGGTCCGGGTATCAAATCCGGGACCTCTCCCTTACAAGTGGAGCGCTCTACCAACTGAGCTAACCAGGGGTTAGACGTCATTAGAGCAAACGGGTTTTATCAGCTGCCACCAGTCGAACACCAACAAGGTGAAGCTTGCAATTTAAAGTTATAATTATAATGCAATTAAATGCAAAGGTGCAAGCGAGCTGGACAAGAATGACGAAAGTAATCCCTGGAGAAGGGGAACAAGAGGGACAAAGGACAAACATAAATCTCCAAACACAGCTAGGTGACTGGTGAGCGACCGAAAAAATCCGCCTGGTCCCGGGTTCGATACTCGGACCAGGCGGATTTTTTCGGTCGCTCACCAGTCACCTAGCTGTGTTTGGAGACTTATGTTTGTCCTTTGTCCCTCTTGTTCTCCTTCTCCAGGGATTACTTTTGTCATTAGAATTAGTTTCTTTTAATTGCAGCTGTTCACAAAATCAAATAACCCTTTGCATAAAAAAAAAAAAAAAAATTCTCCAAACCTAGACATGCTTGTATCAAGGGCTGGCCACACTGTCCATAAAGTCAAACCGGTCGAATCTGGTGAAAACAAGGAGGTTCGTCGACCGGTTCGACTCAGTCGAAACCCCGAAAGGTCGACCAAAAAATCTGGTTCGACAAAAGTTCGCGACACCCCTATTAAAGGATGGCGGTAGGATTTACAAAATAGAAGACCCACAATCCCCACCGCTGCCCACCGCCCATTTATGCTTTCCATTTCTTTCCCTGCACTGATGCGCCGTAACATCGCGGGTTGGCTTTCCAACGATGCCGTGGGCTCTTTGCCTTTTGTAACCTCATCGTTTTCATTTCTAGTTTGTTAGTAACTAGCCGTACAATGGACAAGTTTCTGTTAGATTGCAAAAAGAACCTCGTGAGTAACGTTTTCCTTTCTGTTCTTGATGTAGGCAGTCAGCTGTCGTTCCGTGAATCAAATGCGATGATGACACACAAAAATACCTCGGCTGCCTCGCGCAGACGCCTACAACATGACCATTTCGGTCGAAACTAGCGGGTTAACATCGTGTTTCTAACAATCGTAGCCACACTTTCCTGTATTCTTGTTTTTTTTGCTAACAGACGTCAGGTCACAGTGGAACAAGGCCGGCAAACACTAAATGTTTGCCGCTGTTTTTCTAAGTCTTTGCGCGCAGAAAAAGAAGCAAACATTTCAGATTAAGTTTTCGACTTTTTTTTTACATGAAATATCTAGTACATAACTCGGTAAACTTACTGTAGTACACTCTACTAGATCCCTGTCGGATCCTGCAGAAATTGCGGCCAGCAGATCTTGGCCATAAAAACGGTGTCAACGTTTGCCCAAGTAGTTGGTGTTTTTATTTTTGGCGGTCGTCGTGCGGCCGCGTTCGTATTGCACGCAGGGAAATCTGGAGGCCTTCTCGAAAGTTCATGTGGTGTTGGGCAACGAAGCCTGCGATTTGGACTCTGCTGTGTCTGCGATCGTCACAGCGTACCTGCTTCATGAGGTGAGTCGATCTGTACCATACTCTTTTTTTTTTGTTGTAAGTTAGTTTAATATTTTAAGAAAGATCAGAAATATGTTAGAGATCAAATGTTTGACATGCTCCACAATGAAGTACCCACTTTTCACAGCTTTCCATTCCTAGTTATTTAGATCAAACGAGGATGCTCGTTGAAGCTATTACTTATGCTGGGAGTAGTGACTGTCAATTATGCCATATTTCAAGTAACGCTAATATAATGAAAGCTAAACAAAAGGGAAGGCGTGTACAATCAGCACGAAATGAAACCCAAACGCCGGAACGCGTGGCCGCTAATACACGCTGCTCCACCTGGAGGGCCCCTGAGAACTAATGGAAATGCACCGGGGTTCGAGAGTGCGGGGCCTACTAAGATGAGCTCGACCATCGCGCGGCGCGTCTGGGAGTTCCGCACTTCGCCGGTGGCGCGCTGTAAGCGCCGTCACATTCGATACTGTAAAGTAGTCCACTCGAGGCGTCGGGTGCGTCAGGCACGAAGGACCAAGGGTTTATTTATACATGTACGTTGTGTACGTGCTCTAGGTCGAGCAGCCGTAATCGAATGGGGGCACGCGGGAGGAGGCCTGGCTCGCGCAGCAGCCGGCGCTCGCGTGGACCGTCACACTGTCTCGCGGCCGGCATGCCACCACAGACCAGTACACGACACACCTCCCCCCTAAATGTAGTCTCGAAGATACCCCGGACGTCGATGTTCGCGTTGAGGACGTCCTGATGGAGCAGCGCCAGGATTAGGAAGATAGGAGGTCGATGTGGATTGACCTGCCTGGTGTTGCTCGGTTTCTTGGTCAACAGTCGGAGCAGCTGCTAAACGAACGTCCGGGTCTGCATTCGGGCTTGACGTTGCGGAGCTTGTATCAGGAATCTGGACTTCGCAACTCTGGCTAGGACTGTCACTTGGCATGCTGCAATGCCGCGTACGGATATGATCTATGTGTCGCCGCCACACACGACCGTCTTCAAGTTGCACTTGATACGAAAGTGGGCCCAAACGACAAGAGATCACACCTGGCAACCAGCGGTTCCCGCTCGTGCCAAAATTAATTGCAAAAACTGGACTTCCGGGTTCGAAGTCTAGCTGGGAGAACTTCTGACAGCCAGCCAGTTTGGCAAACAGCTGATCAGCCGTAGGCAAGGGGTATGTTTCCCACCGGAGGACACGGTTTACCGTACACTTGTAATCGCCGCATAGGCGGATGTTCCCATTCTTCTTGAGAATGGGCACGACGGGGGTTGCCCAGGAAGAGTGACAAACAAACTCAAATATTCCTTGTTCCACCAGTTTATCGATGGCCTCGTCGACCTTTGGCAGCAGCGGAAGTGGCACCTGGCGGGCCTTAAAAAACTTGGGACTCACGGCGGGGTCGATATCTACACGAACCGGCGGCCCCTTGCTTCTCCCGAGGCCTGCTTGGAACAGCTCAGAAAATTTGTCCATCACATTATGGACTGTGGCTTCCTGAACATGCTGCAACGAGGCGTCGACATGGTTGACACCCTCCAGGGAAATGCCCAAGGACCAGAACCAGTTGCGCCCTAAGAGACTGACGCCAAATCCTTTTACAACCAGAATTAAGCTCCAATTTCACGCTTTTGCCCTTGAAGGAAACGTCCGCTGTTGCTTTTCCGAGAATCCGAAGATTCTGCCGTGTATAAGAGCGCAGCTGGAAGGCGCACGGCCTGAGGCTGCTTTTGGAAATGCGGAGCTGGCGCATCACACGTGGGTTGACAACCGTAAAAGCCGACCCGGAGTCAACTTCCATCCGCAGATTGCAGCCGTTGATTCCCACATCGCAAAATACGGGCGGCTCCACGGCGAAGACACAGTAGTCTCTCTTCAATGGGTCCACCGTCTCCAGCCTGTTGTTGCGGAGTGCTGACCGTCGACGTTCGGCTCTCTCCTTTTGGCGGCACGCAGCGACAATGTGGCCCTTGTTATTACAGAAGTGGCACACTGCCCCAACGAAGCGGCACGTTTTTGCGTTATGCGCTCCATTGCAACGCCAGCATGTGCCTGGCGAACCTGGCTTCAGGCTGCCCTCCATGGTTTCAGCTGTGCAGCTGGATTCGGTAGGCAGAGAGCTTGACGCGCGCGGTGCGGTGCTTCCACGCGGCAACCTTGACGTTGCGTCGATCACCACGCGATGAGTTTCTGATACAGCCGTAGGCTCCGGTTTAGCAGAGGTGCGGATTTTTACGGACCACAAGCCCCTTCTGGGGTTGCTTCACCACAGCAACCCGATTCCCCAGGTATTGTCACCACGCCTTTTGCGTTGGAGCCTGATGTAGGCGCAGTACGACTACGAGCTCATTTACCGACCTGGCCGGCAGATGGGAAATGCTGACCTTTTCAGCCGCCTTCCGCAGAAGGTTCAGGACTTCGAGGTACCTCCCCTTCATGACGTTTTGCTCATAGAGTCAACCCCCGAGGTGCCTGTCGACTCAAAGAAGATAGCTTTCCTAACAAGGAAGGATCGCGTTCTTGCCCTCGTACTGCGTTGGATTCTGCATGGCTGGCCATCTAAGAAACCTTCCGAAGTTTTCAAGCCATACTATGATCGCCGTGACGAACTGTCTGTTTACAACAGCTGTATCTTGTGGGGCAGCCGTGTTATCGTACCACCGCTTTTTCGAGAAGAAGTTCTGGACCTACTTCACAGTGGTCACCCTGGCATGGTGAGGATGAAGGGCCTTTCAAGGGGCTATGTATGGTGGCCGGGACTTGACCAAGACATAGAGCGCCGAGTGCGTTGCTGCTTTCCGTGCCAGGAGTCACGAAACGCGCCAGCCCGCGCACCCATCCACCCATGGGAATTCACAACAAGACCATGGTTGAGGCTACACAATGATTTCGCGGGCCCCTTCCAGGGGGAGTTTTTCTTCATCGTAGTAGTTTTTCTTCATCGTAGTAGATTCACACTCTAAGTGGTTGGAAGTTCAACGAATCAAGTCCATGTCAGCTTCGACAGTGATCGCAGCTCTACGTACGCTGTTTGCTATGCATGGATTGCCTGATGTTTTGGTGTCGGACAACGGTACTGCTTTCACTTCAAGGGATTTTAAAAAGTTTCTTTGTAGAAATGGCATCCGCCAAGTCCTTGCGGCACCCTACCATCCCATCCTCGTCGCCAGTGACTGTCAATTATGCCATATTTCAAGTAACGCTAATATAATGAAAGCTAAACAAAAGGGAAGGCGTGTACAATCAGCACGAAATGAAACCCGAACGCCGGAACGCGTGGCCGCTAATACATGCTGCTCCACCTGGAGGGCCCCTGAGAACTAATGGAAATGCACCGGGGTTCGAGAGTGCGGGGCCTACTAAGATGAGCTCGACCATCGCGCGGCGCGTCTGGGAGTTCCGCACTTCGCCGGTGGCGCGCTGTAAGCGCCGTCACATTCGATACTGTAAAGTAGTCCACTCGAGGCGTCGGGTGCGTCAGGCACGGAGGACCAAGGGTTTATTTTTACATGTATGTTGTGTACGTGCTCTAGGTCGAGCAGCTGTAATCGAATGGGGGCACGTGGGAGGAGGCCTGGCTCGCGCAGCAGCCGGCGCTCGCATGGACCGTCGCACTGTCTCGCGGCCGGCATGCCACCACAGACGAGTACACGACAGATACAAAAAGCACTGTCACTCGCTTTATGTATCGGATTCTCAGCGATATCTCTTCAGCGCTGTCATTCATTATCACTTTGCGTATCGCAAGGGTGAAATTAAAGTTAAAACATTTTGTGCACAAGACCCGTAGTGCTCGATGACGTGTCACCGGAAACAACGTGCCACGTGCGGTTTCGGAGAAATAGTGAAACGTCATGAACGCAAAATAAATTTTGTTTATTCGCACACCCATATTCTTTATGAAAAAAAAATGCTGCAACAGACCGACGTGGATGCCTCGGTTTTATGAGCAATGCGCATTTTTTCGTGCGAGGTTATCAGTCAATTCTTAAAAAAATCGAGAAATTGCTCGCTGAGGCTCTTTTCGGTAACCACCGATATGCCAGGCGTATCAATTGCGGAGTGGAATAAATTCATTACCCTGTCTGAGGAGGGCCTATCGCAAACAGCTATAGCCAGGTTAAGCGGCCGCCCGGTGTCGACCGGGCGGCAGTGTGGCGACAGAAGAGCACCCCGAGTGACGGCGGTTACAGTGCGCCACCGGTGAAACGCGAAAGTCCCAGACGCCCAGCGCAAGGGTTGAGGATATCTTAGTAGGACCCGCACCCTCGCACCCAGGTGCATATTCATTAGTTCTCAGGGGCCCTCCAGGTGGAGCAGCCTGTATCAATGGCCAGGCGTTCCGGCGTTCGGGTTTCATTCCGTGCTGATTGTACATGTCTGTCCTCGTCCCCCCCTTTTGTTTAGCTTTCATTATATTAGTATCTACATCAGCACTCTTGTCCAACTCTTCGAGTAGCACATCTATCCAGAGTCCTTAGTTCCCAAGCGGTAGCTATCTGGTCATCAAACAATGTTTCATCGACAACTCAGATGAACTCTTTTCTGTAACAAGCTGCATCAGTCTGACGCCGCAAAGCGGTGCGTACGGGCCAGTCAGGTGGGTTGACATTTTTGTAAGGAGCCGCCGCAGACTATCGCTACGAAGCGGTGTGAATGCAGACGGGGTGGTGGGTTAACGCGCGCGCAGCTCAGTGATACACACATGACGAAATGTCCCTAGCGTGCAGTTCGTGTAACGAGTGTCGGTGAAATGTGTGTCCATGAAAAGTTGTCTCTGAAACGTAATTCCATGAAAGGAGTTCCGGCGAAACGATTGTTACCCATTCCCAAGAATGTACATAGGCCAAGAGGCCCATTGGACCTGCTGGCTCTCCGTAGCCTTCCTCTGTTGTTTATGTGGATGTTTTGAGACATGACCCAGCCCCTGCAAAGGGTGCCTGCACCTTAGGCATTAGGTGCTTGGTGAGTGGCGTCACCACAGACCCTAGCCACGTGGGCTATG